TGCAAGAAACCTGGGGCCAGTGTCCCTGGGCTTTTATTGTATTGCGTGCCACTAAGTAGTTGTGTGACCTTGCACAAGCTACTTGACCTCTCTGAGTTTTACTTCCCTCATTTCTGCAAGTGGGAAGTACTAGTTTCTGGCTTCATAAATATTAGCTATTAACTTTTATTAAAAGAAAAATTGCTGTTCATAGAAGAGGACCATTGGTAATTGACAACCTGCGACAATAGCTATTGATGCATGAGAACCAGAATATTGCACAATAAACAATAAGAGTGTAGATAAGGGCATTGGGTGCTATGAAGCCAATAGGCTGGGATTCTGGTACCCCAGTTATTATCATATGTGTTCAACTGTGAGCTGTTATTGTTAAAGTACTGTGTGTGTGTGTGTGTGTGTGTGTGAGGGGGGGGGGAGGGGAGAGAGAGAGGGAGAGAGAAAAAAAGGGTGAATGTGAAATGATTTCCCTTAGAATCCTGGAGATTGAAAAATGTTTAAGATTGATGTTCTGACATGAAAGGCAGCATGTACGAGTATGTGGATATATCATCCCAAATTAGAGTAAGAGACTTGAGCGTAGATATTAGAATAGAAAGTAAATAATACTCTGTTATTCCCCTAATTGTCCTTCATACCTGCTTTGTAAATGAATCTGAACCTTTGCTTAGGGTAAAACATAATTGAAATATAAGTGCATTAGTTTTAAGCTGTGCCCTGATACATTTGCATGGGGTAAGCAGTTACATCAGTATGCAAATCTGGGACATCTGAGTCTAAAAATACCTTGAAACACTAGCTTGGACGTTCCCTGTCCTTACATTGATTTAGCTTCAAATAACATGTCCATTCAGGAGGACTACGACAGTGAGATGTAATCCTCTGTTCTTGTCTTGCAGTGGGTGATTCCGGAATTGATTGGCCACACCATCGTCACCGTGTTAATGCTCATATCACTGCACTGGTTCATATTCCTTCTCAACTTGCCAGTTGCTACTTGGAATATATATCGGTGAGTGTATTGTGCTTACTGTTTTGTGTCAGGACAGTTTAAAGAAAAAGAAAACTTTTTTAATTTAACAGCTTGCTCTTCTTTAATAAAATATGTACCAGTCATAAAATAAATGACAGCAGAATTCCTCATTAAATCAGCATAAATTTATGTTCACTTTGGTATGCTGGGAAGCTAGCAATTTGCATGGCTTAGCCTTGTAGTAAAAACTTTTACATGTAGTGAAACATTTTACATCCGTAAATTTTAAAAGCATGTAATGGTTAATTGTGATGTCTAAAGACTTGTGAAATTTTTTTATTGTCTTGAATATCTTTTTCCTTTAAGGATGATCAGAAGCCTGAGAATATAATATAATGTCCTTGTTATTTATAGCTGCAGTTTATAATGAGAGTGTATTTGGAATGCTCCAAAGAAAATTTCATTTTAAAACCTACAAATTAGATAACATCAAAATTTTGACTTAATAAATTTAGGAAGTTTGTTCAAATATAGCTCAAATAGAAACACTAACTGAATATAATTTTATAGTTGGGTATTGTACATTACATATTTGCTTGTGAAGAATTGTGGAATAATCTTGACACACCTGGGATTATTTTTATGTTAGTAGGTTGCTATTCTACTAAATTTTTAGGCTTTATTTTATTTATTTATTTTTTAGGCTTTAATTTTATTTATATCTAGGTGGGTTTTTTTTGCTAAAATCATCGGCTGATTTTTTAAAGTGCAGTTTGAAGAGAAAAGAATAAAGGAGCGGGGAGGAGTGGAGAGGGGGTGGGAAGCACATAGAAAGCTCCTGGAGGCCGTGGAGATGAGGGCGCACGCGGACTTGGAGAACGAGTTTATAAAGATCACGAGACTAGAAGCTGAGCGAGGGGAAAGTGTGTCAATTTCTGTACCTCTTCTCCAGAGATGGGCCCAGAGGGGCAGAAGTTTCTTTTCAGTTTCTTACTGCTTTCCCCTGATCACCCACAGACCAAACTCAAACCTGAGCTCAGCACTGACAGACTCCTCACACTTATGATGCGGTGTGACCCCACACAGACTTGCAGCACAGCTCGGTATCCCTGTGACCCCACCAAATGGAACACAGATTTGGGAGTGAGGGTGGGCACCTCTGATACGGTAGATCTTAATGATATCGCAGACCACACCGTCAGTCATCGCCACTAGGAGTGAAAACGTGCTAGAGGAAGGGCAAGCTGTGCTACGATTTCTTTGTATACAGTACAGACCGTGGTGGACGTCTCGGTAAAGTTTTATTTGGGGCCAGTAAAGTTCATAGATCTATTTCCTGTAATTAAAAAGACAAAGATCATGTGTGTTTATTGCCCTGATAATGGCAGTGACAGATTGACAACCTGCTGGTCACAAATTTCCTTCTATTTAAAAAGATTAAAGGGCTGGCCGAGTGGTTCAGTTGGTTAAGAGCTTCGCTGTGAGCAACAGGGTCGCCGGTTTGATTCTTACCCCGAGCTGAACTGCCAACACGTGGCAAGATGGCTCAGCTAAAAAAAAATAATAAATAAAAAGATTAAAGAATCATCAGATGGATCATTTCCTCTTTTCAGATGTCTGTGCTTTACGCTGCCGGGGATATAGACAGATGTGAAATGGGTTCTGCCCACAGGACAAAGAGGCAAAACATTGAATAGCAAATAAACCAGTGAACTAAGAGGTGGGCGAAGGCGCGTAAAGTAGTTGCAGATGCGGGACGAGGATACTCAGGTTGGGAGGGGAGTGGGATTGCTGTTTCAGGGAGGTGGTGGTGTCTGGGCAGCACCCCACAGGAGGGGAAGGTTTGACAGAGACAAGTGGGGAAAGAATACTCGGGGGTGCAGAGGATAAGGGGACGGGTAGAGAGGAAAGCTTGAGCAAATACACATGGCACGTTTACGGAGTAATTAGGTTGAAATCATGCAGATGAGACAGTAGGAACAGACAAAGCTACAAATGTCGACTAGGATGGGTCACAGAGAACCTTGAATTCTGGTCTGTGGAGTTGAGTACTAGTACTAAATAGTACTAGTAGCATCAAGTTCACGCATTTAAAATATACTGTTCAGTATATTTTTAGTACACTTACAGATTTGAGAAACCATCACCACAGTCTATTTTATAACATTTTCATCACCCCAAAAAGAAGCCCTGTTAGTAGTCAGTCCTGCTCTCTCCTCTACGCCCACCCTAGGCAGCCAGCAGCTTACTTTCTGTCTCTGTAAAGTTATCTGTTCTGGTCAGACATATCGTATAAAGGAGATCAATCTGTGGTCTCCTATGACTGGCTTCTTTCATAGCATAATATTTTCAAGGTCCATCTATGCTGTGGCATGTCTCAGCACTTCATTCCTTTTTATTTTGTTTTGTTTTTAAAGATTTTTATTGGGAAATTGGGGGGAAGGGAACAGTGCTGGGGAATTGGGGGAAGGGGAACAGACAAGTTGCTGTCATTTTGTTCTTCAGTCTAGTTGTGGAGGATGTTGCATCACTGGCCCAAGTTGCACCATCATTGCGCTCTTCCCGGGCGAGGCAGATCAGTCACCGGCTTCTGGACGGCCGCTCACGCTGGCTGCTGGCCGCTCACGCTGGCTGCTGGCTACACACGGTAGCCCATGGCAACCCACTGCAGCAGGGGCTGCAGCTACGCTGTCGCCTGCGACTCACGGCAGCCCAGCTCCAGGTCGAGCTGTTGTTCAGCGTCTTAGCTGTAGAGGGCAGTGTCACTGGCCCTCATATGTGGGATCCGAACCAGGGCCCTCTGGCGTCCCAAGCCAGCTCTTAACCAACGCACCACTCGGCCGGCCCATTCCTTTTTATTGACTAATATTCCATTGCATGGATATATTTTGTTTATCCATTTGTAATCAATGGGCACTTGAGTTGTTTCTACTTCTTGGCTGTTAATGAAGAGTTCTTCTCTGAACATTCACATGTATGTTTGTGTGTGGACATGTTTTCATTTCTCCTAGGAGTGGAATTGCAGGGTCATATGATAATTGTTTAACCTTTTAAGGAACTGCTGGAGTGTTCAAAAGCAGCTGTACTATTTTACATTTCCATCAATTGTGTATGAGGGTTCCAGTTTCTTTTTTTTATTTTAGCCATCCTGTTAGGTGTGAAGTGACATCTCATTGTGGTTTTGGTTTACATTTCCCTAATAACTGATACTGAGTATCTTTTAATGTGCTTATTAGCCATATGTGTGCGTGTGTGTATACACACACACACACACACACACACACACACACACACACATTTGTCATATGTTTTCAGTAGCTAAGCTGATATGAAATAAATATGCTTCAGGGAGATTTTTCTGGAAGCATTGTATAGTATTGATTTGTTGGAAAAGAGCCAGCGCTACGAAAATGAGTTCAGTGACTGGTGTGAGATGATAGCACTGGGATAAGGTTGTGATAGTGAGAATGAAAAAGGTACAGCTATGTACGTGGTGAAAGGGAGAATGGACGAGAGTTTGATCTGCCTATGACAGATGACGAAGAGAGGAAGTGAGAACCGAGAAAGAGAAAGTTTTCAAGGACTACTGAGAAAATAGTGACACTCCTATTTGATAACCTAGAAGTCAGAGAAGGATGTGACTCTGAGACTATTTGAATTGAGATGTTATCTGGACAAAGGATAGTACCCTCTACTCAGAGATGGGCTGTTAGGATTTGGGGGAGAACTTAAGATTTATGGAACTCAGAGAAGCATTCGCATTTCACAGAAGTCATAGTTGAGAACCGAGTGTGTGTCAAGAGTGAGGAAGCAGCATCGAAGCAGCTTGGGCGTGCAAGCGCGACGAGTCATGAACAGCGCTCGGTTAGGACAGGCAGCACAGTCTGGAGGGCGAAGCCCATATGCTTCAACTCACTGTTTCTCCCAAAGGAACCCGGTTTCCTCAATTGTAAAAGGAATCAAGGAGGAAGAAGACTGTCATGTGTAGCTATTGTGTACACAGTGATATTAAATCAATATGAAATGTTATGTGTCACCTGAAGAACCCCAAAGACTCCGTAGTAGATTAAATATAATACAATCAAGATTTTTTAAAAAAACTTTGAGTCTGTTCTGAGCCTGTGGACATGGAGTTGTATTGGTCTGGACTTGGAACTAGGTGCGTGCTCACGGTACCCTTTATCTCCTCTATTGGCTGTAGCCCTGTTCCTACGTTGTGGTCATATCTCCACCACCATAAAAAGTACATTCTTATTTGTATAGTTGGCATTTAATCTGTATTTGGATGTTTTGTATTCAATCTGTAAGGGTTATGTAAAGTTAGATATTCATTGCATTTTGAGTCAGAATTATCCGTTTATTGTCTGAACTGAAGAGGAGTTTTATTTTATCACAGTAGCATTTATTCTAAATCATTTCTGTTCTGTCGCCTTTAAAATTGTTCTTATTAACCATACAGATTGAGACATATAATCTAGTGATCAGCAGGAGACCAAAGATGAGTTTTCTCTTCTCGACTTAGAATCTCCCTATTGTCTGTGAAATGGGAATGATTATGTCTGACACTACTCTTCCTTATAAAGATGTTGAGAAGGTGAAGGGAATTGCATGAAATAATGTCGACCTTTTTAGATAAAGAAGCTTCTAAGACCTTGATAAAATCGGTTTGGTGTTGGAGCTTTTTCATTTGTGTCTAATGGAAATGCTGTGGGTGCGACCGGTTCAGTAGCTTTCTGTAGGTGTGTAAGAGGGTCTCAGTGCATGAAATAGTCTTGTCTAGGGTGTTACTGTGTTTGTTTCAGAGGGCAGAGAATTACACCAAAAATTCACAGTATTGTGTCAGGGGAATACTAAGTGGTGGCCCATGACATCATAATACCCTGTCTATATTTGGTCTGAATTTAAAACTACTATGACTGGTTCACTTTTAAAGGTTGATTACTATGGGTTATTTTTGACTATTTATGCTGATGATTTTCCTTCTAATGTGTGTTCATCCTTTATCAGGTTCATTATGGTGCCAAGTGGTAACATGGGAGTGTTCGATCCAACAGAAATACACAATCGAGGGCAGCTGAAGTCACACATGAAAGAAGCCATGATCAAGCTTGGTTTCCACTTGCTCTGTTTTTTCATGTATCTTTATAGGTGAGTTTACAGTCCTCCGGTCATTTTCCTGGATGACATGCCTGCTTTTGATGGGTGAGATATTACTATACTATAGGATTTAGCATTGACATTGGAGAGCTTTTGGGGATTCTGTGAATTTCTTGTGGCTGTGTAGATTTTTTATGTGTGTCATTGAATCAGCATTCTGCCTGACCTACAATAGAGTTACTCAGTGGTATTAGCTCTTCTTAACTGTGGAGGCTGTCAACATGCTTAAAACTCTTTGCTGCTCTTTTCCTGCCCTCGTATCCAGTTGTGAGGTCTTCACTGTTATAAGAATCAACATATATACCCCAGAGATTGTCCCACTCATGGGATGCCAGGCCACTGGCCACAGCTTTCAACAGCTTACATCCAGGCTGGGCTTATCTTTTTTGGCAGCAAGGAATGGAGAGGCATGATGCTAACTCCCAGCATGCTAAGTGGTCTGGTAAAATCGCATCAGTCTTTCGTTACAACAGATTGGACGTAAGAATTAATAGGAAGGATTGGCTGTCGGACAGTGGGTCTTAACGCAGTCCTGTTTTAAACTTAAATTTATTACCTTATATTTTAGAGATAAATATGCCACTTTTTAAAATCTATCATAGACCCATAGATAGAGCAAAGAAGAGAAGAAAATTGTCATGTATGCATGGTATGAGTAAGATGCTAAGATGCTAGAAGTCAGGCTGAACCTTTGTATCCAAGCTTAATTAGATCATTCCTATTTTTTCCCAGGTAAATTTTAATTTTTCACATAGGTATAAAGACTGTTAGGAAAAACTTGTACTGAACTAAACCTTTCTCTCTCAGAAGGTTCCTAGTAATTAGAAACTGTATAGAGATAGCAGGTTAAAAAACTGTTTTAGCTGAAATAGTTTGTAAGTCAGAACCATTTCAGCCTTTGCCTTATTAATAAGCAGGCTTCCTAAAATCCTTTTGCTATGCTAATTCCACCCACTAGCATAGATTAGATGGAAGTTGGAGTTTAGATGGTTTCCTTTTCACTGTCTTATTTGCTTTTTTTGTATTTTAAAACTAGGACAGAAAAAGTACACTGGTATGTTTCTGGTTCTCATACCTATGTCACTGCCAATGTGCTTATTTTATTTGTTTTTAGCTGAGCCATCCTGCCACCTGTTGGCAGCTCAGCGGCTGCTCAGCTCGGGCTGGGAATTGAACCGCTGTTGCTCAGAGCTCACACTCTTGAGCGAGCTCTTAACCAACTGAGCCACTCGGCCCGCCCTGTGCTTAATTTTTAATCCTAGTATTATATTAAAGATGAAGGCTAAAGAGCAAAGGAATTTAATATTAAGAACACAACATGCTGGTTCTCATTTTTATTACTTTTAAGTTAAACAATATAAAGATACCTTTGCCATGATATATGTTCCCTTCTATTTGTTTCTGAAGAGACAGAAAGCAAGCTGGAATGGGCTTAGCTCAAGGTCGCTCTTTCTTTCTCCTTCCGCCCCCTCCTGGTTTACATTATTGGAGCACAAACCAGAGTGGACGCTCCTTGGGTCTTGATAACAGGAACTTCTTGAGGCAGCTGTGGGCACAGCCGCTATAGCCGCTCCTCAGGGAGTGAATGTAGGGTTAGGGAGCAGTATCTTGCTTAGTAGACCCAAAGGCTGAGGATTTAAAAATGCACACGAGTTTCTCACCTCTCAGTTATGAATTGAAAGCATTGGGAAGACGGACTGACGACTGGGATTAGAGGCTCAGGAAGCAGTTTGGGGGCAGGTTTAAGGTATGGATTTTTACAACTAAATCAAAGGCAGGCAGCCTGCGCCGCTGGATTCCTCACTGGCTGCATCGTTTCTTTCTTTCCTCTCCTCTCCCTTCCTCAGCTTGTCATTTTTAGCCACGTTGCTGTTACCTTATCCCTTAGCATCACCCATGGCTCAAGGGATCAGGATGAAAGAATGGTTTCAGGTATCCTTGTAACACTTTGCTCTTAGCTTTTGGTTGCTGTTGTGTAAAAGTGGTTTTAGTTCCAAATCACCAGATTTCTAATGCAGGGAGTTTATGCTGCTCCTCTCTCTGTATCGCCGGCCACGGCTTGCATGGTGCCTTACACATGGCATACACTCAGGGTTTGTTAAATAGAATTAAAAGGAAAAAAATGCCCATCTTCCTTAGAGATTGATAGATTGGTGCCTTTGCTTTTTTGGTTAGGTGCTAGCTAAGGGAATCTGAGCTCTACTACTTACTCACTGTGGGACCTGGGTCAGGTTTCTTAACCTCTCTGTGCCTCAATTTCTTCATCTGAAAATGGGATAGTAATAGTACCTAGTCATCAGATTGTGATATGGACTAAATAAGATAATGCCTGTAAAGCACTTAGGTTTGTGCTGACCTAAACTCCAAACAAAAATCTTTCAAAAATATTAGTACTACCATTAATCTGTGCTGTACACTGAGTATGCTTAATATGGTTAAATTTGGACAACTAATCTTTAAACAACTTATACCGTTAGTAATGTAAGGGTATTTCTGTGTGTTTTTCATCATTTGATCTCCACAGAGCAAGGCTGATTCTAGCAAAAGGAAATGAGTTTTGTTACTGTTGTTGCCAGTGGTGGTTTTGATTTACTGAGTGACTACTATGTGTCAGACACTGTTTAAGGAGGTGCAGATGACACAAAGCAGCAGCACACAATCCCTCTGTAAAAGCTGGGAGCCTGGTGTCGCCGTATTTGGGTGTTATTCTGGACTGTGCAAGTAACGGCTCCTGGATTGTGCACTTGTCTCGGAAGAGCTCACAGCCCAGGGGTAGAAATGTAAGCCAGGGCGTGTGGGAGGAAGCTGAGCTGCCCAAAGAGCCCTGTGCGCCTGCCCTGGGCTGAGACCTGCTTTCCAAGGGGGGGGTGCCTTCGAGCCCAACTGTGAGCATGAGTAGGAATTGACTAGACGATAGGGATGTGATGGGAGGCCAGGTCCCAGGCACAGGCACATGTGCAGAGATCTGGCTAGAGAATAACATGGCTTGTTTTTTCTCAACTATAGCCCAACCTTGGTTTTAGGTTGTACTCCCCAGCCCTACTCCAGTTCCGTGTTGTTGTTTTTTTAGTGAAAAACACAGGGCCTGGAGAGGCCCTAATATAGATTTTCTTCCCTTAGGTCTAAGGAAAAGAAGGAATACTCAAATGAGTGTTCCTCGCTGAGCCTTAGGGCCACACCAGGCTCTGGGACATTCCTAAGGAAATGTCAGTAACCTTCCTTTCTTCTCTTCACAGTATGATTTTAGCTTTGATAAATGACTGAAACTGGAGAAGCCGTGTTTGAAGTCACTACAGCGCGCAGTTGAGGACCCAGAGACTCCTTCAATCATCTTTAGAACCATAACCATAGCAGTATATTTTTTCCTCTTTGAACAAAAAAAGTATTTTTGCTGTATTTTTACCATATAAAGTATTTAAAAAACATGACTTGAGTTTTTGTAGATTTCTGGTTCTCAACTTTAGCCTGAACCACAACCTGTGAGGGCGTCTCTCATCATCTGTATGCTGAAGACAGTTTGTCACTGGTGTGTAGGAGCAGGCTTGCCGTTCCAGCCCTGTGTGCCTGAGAAGCGAAGGACGCACTGTAAATAAGGGAAAACTTAGGGGATGAGCAGAGCTGCTCCTCAAGCCGAGTACACAACTACACTGCTGACCTGAGCAGAGGGAGAAAGTAACCTTTTGCCTATATTGTGGCAGCTTCATGTATTTCACATAAAGATTTATGGGACTGTCAGCTACAAGTCTTTTCATGAGAATGTTAACAGAAAATGACATTTCAAAAATTATATATTTCCTTGCAGAATTTGTGAAACATAAGCCATTTGCCCAGGTACAATGTAACTCCTGCTTATAGAAAGGAAAATAAATTTTTTTTAAAAACCCAAATTTAATCCAGAGCTTTCATTTAAAAGCTGCTGCCTCTACAATCACCTTCAAACCTGTATGACTGGCCCTTTCCAGGTCTTTTTGTATTCTGATTGATCCAGTTCTGTTTGATCTCTAATATATTTTTAGTGGGTTTGGAGAGGTGATTTGGTAGATGATGCTCATCAGATTAGAAGCAAGACTAGCCCGTCCCTCAGTGTCCATGAAATTGAGCCTGTCAGTGCTCCGCGTGGTGCTACATGAACTATATAACCTTCTGTTCAGCTGTACTGACCACTTTGTGACTCGGGAGACTCAAAAGAAGCAGAGATGAAGCAATATCCAACCACACTCGGTTCCTTTGAGCTGTATTTGTAAACTTGCAGTTGATGAGAGCAGTTAACCTGTCTGTTCGCCGGGTGAAGCTAGCTTGGCAGTTTCTCAGTCCCAGTTTGTGCCTTATTGTTGTCATCTTAAGTGTTGGCATTTTGGGCAATACATGATTGTGTTTTATGGGAGAGTCCAAAGGGATTATTCACTCTGTAGAGGCAGAGTTGGGTGGCTAAGCAAGGCACGTGATCACCAAGAGATCCAGTGTTGCATGTCCTTTCGACCCTGGACAAGGTCCGGCCTTGGCAGAAGTCAGGGAGCCAGCAAAACTCCCATCCAGATAGGCCCACGATTTGAGGATGGACAGAGTGCCCTGATCACACATGAAAGACAAAGTGAAATGAGCAAAGTAAACTTGGTTCTGTTGCCTCATTAGGGTTTCAGAGATAGTTCCTTGTGGTTCTCTTGTATTTCTGCCAGGCAGAGAACCCAGAAGCTGTAACAGAGGTTACTTTGCTTGCATCTCTTAGTTACCTTTTGCTTCCAAGGCACCTTTGTCTAAAACCAGTCCCTTCCCTCTGCCTTTCTCCCTAACTTCCAGTGCCTCTGAATGTTCCGCTCAAGCTATTGAAGCAATGGAAGCCATTGGAGAACTTAAATCCTTAGACGTGAGAGACAAGCTGCTTCAAGAAGCTCAAAGGTGGTGGTGGATTGTTAACCAAACATTGTATCTTCTCAGTATTCTAAATAACCAAACCAGAGCCCATGTAGTTGAGAGAGGCTCTGGCTGTCAGCTTACATGTTGTCAGGCCTAAGTGGCTGAGGTGGAGCACATCGGAAAGAAGCCTTGTTTACAACAAATGACAGAAGGCTCTTTACTTCTGAAACATGAACTGTGGTTAAAAACAAACAAAACCACCTTTCTTGTATTGCCTGTCTGTAGCAAAGGCAGGAAAAGGGGTTAACTCTAGTTTTATTTTTGGGGGCTTCTCTACAAACAATGTAAAGGGGGAAAACGCACTGACTATAAAAGCGATGGTTAAGATGCTCAAGATTAACTTGCTATGTTTTTATTTGGTGAGTTGCAGAGGACCTTAGTGATCATTTGGTCTGACTTCATTGTAAAGACGGAGAGCTGATGCCTGGAGTTTGCAGCTGGAATCCTGGTGGTCAGTCAGCATTCTCTCCCCATCACGCTGTGAGGCACAGGACCCAAGCCCAACCAGTGCAGACTACCACGGGCTGCTCCTGTGTGCACAGGATTTTTATCTGTGGGTTGTGTCATTTTTCCCTTGTCCTTCCATCGTCCCAGTGGTCGCAGGTGCCCTTGCTAATCACTGCCACCTCAGCTGAGAGCTGAGAAAGCAAGATCTAAGATGCAGCTCAGTTCAGCGAAGCCTGGCAGGTCCCTTGGCTACATTTTCTCGCACAGATGACAATGGAGTAAGTCCAAATGTGCTTCCTTTCAGCTGGCCTCACCTCGAAGTTGAGTGCTAAGGAAGCTTCCCCTGGAACTTTCTCTCCCAGGGCACTTACCACTTCATAACTGGTATTAGTTATTTGTATGCAATGAACCTCTCCATCTAGGCTGTACGCTCCTGGAGGGCAGAGTACATCCTTACTCATACTTGTTATCTTCCTCCTACTGCTCCTGGGAGCTAACAGTGCCTTGCACACAATGAATGATTGTGGAATGAACAAGTAAATCTGATTGTGTTGTTCTATTGCTCTTTGAGTAAGAAGTTTAGCTGATATCCTTTACCAGAGAAGGAGCAATGGAACAACATAAGCAGAGCCCACCAGTTTTGTTTTCAAGGCTACATCATGAAGTGTTCTAAGACATGCTAGACTAGCAAGGGAAACTGCTATATTTGGTGCACTTGAGACTTGTGAATCAGCTTTACTTGCAAGTAATATTTTGTCAAAAGTAGTTGTGGTAAAAAGTGTTATGTACTAGGTGCAATTGTCTCCAATTAATTGTAATATGTAAATATTTGTAAATAATTATAAAATGTAAATAAACTTGTTCTAATACATAGAAACAGGCAGCAAGATAGAGAAGGTTAAGTTTGAAATTCTGTGCTTGTCTACATTCCTGCCACCTGAGTTTATGTACTTTACACCAAATATACTATCTTGCTCTGTAGTGTAACAAAGATTGACATATTCTTGGTGTAATGAAACTACTTAACAAGACTGTTGAAAGAATGGGCTGTTTTGGATTTCTGAGGGCTTGTCAGTGAAGCCTTCTGGCTTTAAGCTGTACTTTTCCTGAACATTCTAAAACTTAGTAGCCAGATTGTTTTGCTTTACACATTTTTTTTTTTTAGCTGAGCCATCCTGCCACCTGTTGGCAGCTCAGCGGCAGCTCAGCTCGGGCCGGGACTTGAACTGCTGTTGCTCAGAGCTCACGCTCTTGAGCGAGCTCTTAACCAGCTGAGCCACTCGGCTGGCCCCAGATTGTTTTGCTTTAAATAAATACAATCTAATGACTGAGGGTCCTTCAAAGCATTAGGATTAGCACTGTAATCACAGGAATAACCACCAGGCAGAACCATAGCTTTAGTTAAAGGCACTGTCCAGAGTTAGCTTGGTACCAAGTTCAAGTTGCTCTTCTGATAAAAGCTTTCGTTCTCAGTTGCTTCCCTCTGAAGCTGGGTGGGGAAGAGTGTCTCGATGGTCAAAATCGGCAAGCCGAGAGCTCCAAGGTTTGTGGCTTCCTCTGCTGTGTGTTTCATTTGCTCCTTCCATTAGGGAGCAATGTTGGTTTCATCTATATCAGTTCCCATTAAACATTAGAACCTAGTCAAGAGGTGAATCGGTTTAACAAATCCTTAAATTCCTGTACTCTGATGGAGCACCTGTGTCAAATCCTGAGGACACAGTAAGCGTCTGAGTTACACGACAGGGTCACCCTGCAGCCAGCTCTCTTACTCCTACTTTGCTTCTATGGGCCCTCCCTGTGCTTTAGCAGGACGCCCACTTTGTTGATCCAGGGGCTCCATTTCATCTGCTATTCTTTTTTTTTTTTTTTAGCTGAGCCGCCCTGCCACCTGTTGGCAGCAGCTCAGCTCGGGCCGGGACTCGAACCGCTGCTGCTCAGAGCTCGCACTCTTGAGCGAGCTCTTAACCAACTGAGCCACTCGGCCGGCCCTCATGTGCTATTCTGAGTACCATATGCTCTTGGGGCAAGAGGCTGGCACTTGAATCTTACCTATTTTCACAGCTCAAGTCATTCAATTGATAACCTCTGTAGGAGAGAGAATGTAACAGGGAATCAGCTTCTAGAGCCTGATCTTATCACTTGTTTGATCAGCAGCCTGTTTCATAGATTGGATGCAAATTGGGTTGAGAGTTGAACATGATGGTTCAATGAAAAGCAACCAGTTTGGTCGCCACTATATCACAAAGAGAACTGTGGGCAAAACTAGCCCTGTTACTAGGTAATTTTGTTTTCCTGGCTACAGTAATCAAACTCATGGGCTTCTTGGTTACTCCATAACCTACTACCTTCTCTCCCCCACCCTGTTTTGAGTCACCAGACATTATGTAATATTTTTGTACCTGTTTCTCTCTAAGATGAGGATTCTTAAAACACACACACATAACCATAGTACCATTGTGTGTGTCATACATAAACTAGTAATTCCTTAGTACTCAATATCCAGTTGGTGCTCAAATTTACTCCACTGGATCAAGTTTTACAGCTGGTTTGTTCCCACTGGGATCCAAATAAGAGCTGTACATTTCATTTTGTTAATGTCTCTTGTCTCTGAAATCTACTAGGTTTCCTCTTTTATTCCTCACAATCTGTTAAAAAAACCAAACTGGGTCCTTTGATATAGTGATCATTAGTTGTGTAGAACCTCCAATATTCTGGATTTTGCTGAGTTCCTCTATATTAACTTCAAACTCTTAAAAAAATCACTTGTGGTTTTACTATGTGCGTTCTCACACATTACAATGCTGTTTTGTAAGATACTGTTAGCTGCTTTTATAGATGAGGGGGCTAGGCTTTGACAGGCGAGGTAAATTGTCCAAAGTGACACACCAAGTGATAGGATTTATAGTCAGGTCTTCTGACTCTAAAACCCATGATTTTAACCACTACATTTATAAAACAATTTAAAGATAATTCTAATTTAGTGTGGAGATTTTTCTATGTAAAATGTGTTTTGATTGCTTTGTGTGGAAAAAAGTATTGAGATAACTTTAAAAGCGTCCTTTTATGAACTATGCAGTTAACTGGAATCAGTAAAGTGGGAAACTTTTCACCTATCTGACAAGTTTTAACAGTCAATTTTATTCCAAGGTTAAGTGGCCATCTATAGACCAAGGCAGGTTTATATGGTGTGGTGCTTAAAAACACAAGCTCAGGCTGGCTGAGTGGCTCAGTTGGTTAAGAGCTCGCTCAAGAGTTTGAGCTTTGATCAACAGCGGTTTGATGCCAGGCCCGAGCTGAGCTGCTGCTGAGCTACCAACAGGTGGCAGGATGGCTCAGCTAAAAAAAACCTCACAAGCTCAAAGGCACCTCACTTTGTGTCTGAGCTCCTCCATACCATTTACTTTATTTAAGCCTATTTCTCTTATTTGTAAAATAGTAATTAAGAGAGTACTGCCGCAGGAAGCCACTGAGAATCAAACGAGAATGCATGTAAAGTGGCTCATCCAGTGGCTGGCCTACAGTGAGC